TCTATGTACAGATTACCCTAAAACTCCACATGGAGAAACTTATAAATTCGAATACATTGTTGTCAAAACAGTTCTATAGGCTGTGAATATGGAAACATTGCTTTGAAATGGCTTTCATGAATCGATTTAGTGAAGAAAAGATGCCAGCCACTTGGCTAAGCAATGATGGGTTCTGCTCTGCCTTGTTCTCTCCATTTCAAATATCATCTGCAATTATTTTTAGTATCTTCCAGGTATGAGCTTTTTGGACAAAGAAGGTCAGAATATAAAACATGGCCAAGTAAGATTAAAAAACAGTTCATTAAGTACTTAAACGGACTACTAACAATCTGTTGTAGAGAGAATTTTAAAGTTTCTAGAAGTAACTAAACTTCAACATCATCAGGGCTTGCTAACGAGTTCTTTAGCAAGCTGATATCTACCTGGGCTGTCTTTATCATCATAAAACACTTTCCATAATCTGTCTTTTTTTTTAACAAATTACAATTGGAGGCAAAGGATTCGAATTCTAATCTTAAGACTAAGATGCATCTTTACAATGAAACATATAACCATTGGCTCTTGAAACTCAAGTGCCCATGATCTGGTCTTTGATTAGGAATAAGGGAGAGGGAATGATAAGCATGTGAAACAAGGGAAGAATGTACCGTGTCAACAAATACTAGATGCAGTCTTATAAATGAAACCAACCCAATTGGGTGAGGGTTTTTTTTTTTTTTTTTTAGATTTCACATCAACATTTACAATAAAGATTACATTCTTTAATATTATGTTAAGGACATCCAATGACAAAGAATAATATTGAATACTATCAACAATTTTAATCAACCTTTTCTTATGACACAACCTCTAACTAGCTTTACAGTGCAACTCCTAGATTGAGTTTTATCTCACTCCCTTCCCTAGTTCTTCTAACCTTACATCAGTTATTCAATATGGTATGAAATATATTGCATAATAAATGATAAATAATTATATTTTAGTTAAACAAACCTTAACAATTACTTGCATGTATTTGTAGTTTAATTAATAATATATGATAAAAGAAAAAAATTAAAATGTGCGACCATGGCTTTCTCTTATTTACTTTATGAAAAAAAAATGTAAAAAAACCTTTAAGTTAAAAATATTAAATCTGAAACTTAAATTAGGTGAAAAAGATATGTAAAAAGAAAATAATTAATTTTCATATAACTCACGTCATATATGTAATAAAAAAAAAAACATAATGTTCTCAATTTTATTAAAAAAAAATAGTATGATTTTCTCCTTTTTCTTCACATAAAAAATTATATTTTTATTTATTAATGTTAAAATTTATTTTTATGCTTGAAATTAACTCCCTTAAATTCTGTTTGGCCTCCGGGAAAATACACCTGCTTGATCTAATCATTTCTAAATCCGTTTTCTGAATGTTAGGAATCAATATCTAGCGTCTGGGATTCCACATGGAAGGTGCGGGGAGCGATGCTGCCTCTACGGTGGCGCCGATTGCCAGGTGGAAGAGCGATTTCGCGAGGGCGTTTCAGTACTACCTGGATCGTTCTACCCCTCACATCACCGAGAGGTGGCTGGGGACTCTCGCCGTCGCAGCCGTTTATATGTTTCGCGTTTACCACGTCCGAGGGTTTTACATTGTCTCGTACGGTCTCGGAATTTATATCTTGAATCTTCTGATCGGTTTCATGTCGCCTAAGGTTGATCCGCAGCTGGAAATTTTGGATGGAGCTGCATTGCCAACTAAAGAATCAGATGAGTTTAGGCCATTCATTCGCCGACTTCCCGAGTTCAAGTTCTGGTAGTTTTAAAATTCCCATTACTCTGCATTTTCTAAAATTTTTATTTTTAGTTGAGTTTCTTTCTTTATTCATGGAGTTGATCTTATATTGTTGATTTAGCTGCCTTTTGATTTAGCTGAATTAGAAAAGAGAGTTATTTTTCTTTGGATTTATGATTTCAGGTATTCCATCACAAAGGCTTTCTGTATAGCCTTCCTAATGACATTCTTTTCTGTGTTTGATGTTCCTGTATTCTGGCCCATATTGCTCTGCTATTGGGTGGCTCTGTTTGTTCTCACAATGAAGCGTCAGATAATGCATATGATCAAGTACAGATATGTTCCGTTCAGCATTGGGAAGCAGGTAAGGTCTTGGAATTTGTTATTGTGAGTCTTTCTCCCATTGGGAAGACTGTTCTCTTCTGTCATGGGGCTGTTTTTAATGTGTTTCCCTGGCCTTTAACAGAGGTATACTGGGAAGAACATTGCTGCTAGTGGTGCAGGCTTAATGAAGGACTAAAGGCTGTCGACATCCAAAGGAGGTTGAGGAAATTTGCAAGTTTCCCACTTCTTTGATTTGAGATTCTAGTAGTAGAAGTTGTTATCAATTACAATTATTTTTGGAGAGTCCTTTTTTTGTTTTGAATTCATTGATCAATTCTCTCTTCCATTGTATTTTCAATGATTTCAACCGTGGCAAATAAAATGCAGATATCTTGTCTTGTTGTCTTTGAATTGTTGGAGCCAGCTGTTTCTCTTAGGAATCATGTTTTGTTCGAGGTTCGAGTACACAGGGCATTGTAGCATTCTGCATTAACATAATCTCTTCAGTCTTGTAGGGCTTGCTGGAATGTTTTGTGCGCCTCCTGGATGCTTCAAATTTGGAGGTTCGGTCCAAGTTAATGCTGTCAATAACAGAGGCTGCAGTCTTAGAGTTTGCCTGGTACTTTGTGAATGGTGTTAACTTTGTGAGGGAGGTTTGGGTGTAGGCCCAAAAAAAAAAGAGAAAAAAGGGGGAGGTTTGGTTAAATATCTGATTCCATTTATCTCAAGCAGATGTGGGAAAAGAGAGATCACAGAACTCGTTAAGCTTTGCCTGTTCATGATCTGGGCTGTAATTCTTTGTTAAATATCATCAGCTTTGCAATGGCAGTTGGGCAGTATTTAAAAATTGACTTGGTCATGATGTTGCCAGATGTGTGTCTAATAATGTAGACAATGCTGTTATAACAACTCTCCAACAACTGAAATACACAAATCTCGTCTGATTATTGTAGGGAAAAAATAATACAATTTTCATGGTCGTTTTAATTTTAATAATGATCATTAGTCCTTAAACATTGCCAGCTAAGTTTTTGAAGGCTCTATTATTCTCACATCTTGAACTATTTTATCCTCCAAACTTGTATTAAGGCTGTCAGACAGGTGATTAAACTCCATTAGTACTCCCAAAAATGATGACTGGGAGAACATATGTCTTGATATTCTTTTTCTGGGCTGCTCTGACGATCATCACCCCTACTCTTGTTCTCTGGTCAGAATCCATCAAACCTGAACTGGAATTGAGTGGTAACAGCCAGAAAATCTTTGACTTCTTGATCATTGCAGTTTGATGTGTTGGTACTTGTGAAGGATTGGAGTTTCTCTTTCACCCTCTCTGTTTTATCCATAAGTTTGCTAATTTCATTTGTATTTTGCTTTGCAGGGGAGAAGGGTAACAGGCTGAAGGATAGGAAATTGATAGGAAATCCAGGGGCACAATTAACAAATGCAACAGTATGCTCAAATCCACCATACAGAGTAGCTCCAGCACCAGCGCCAGCAACAGAACTAGACTTAGTTCCAGGGACAAAACAACCTTGTGAACAAAGTCTTCTCCAAAGCAATAGGACTGGTGATCCAGCTTTGCAGAAACTACCTTACACGAGCTTGTGAAACCATCCAGTATGCCTAGGTTTGCCATCAAAATCTTTTCCTGATATTCAATGCAACCCCTTTGATGCAAGTCCTCAAGCTCATCAGGTTTGATCAAATCCATTCATTTACTAAAAGAATGCATAATAAATGAAGATTGGAAGAAATTCTTGTAGATATTTCATTCATGTATAAAGAAAATTCACTTTGTTAATGTTCTTGTGTTTTTAAAATGTGAATGGTCTTTTTGGGGGAGACTGCGCTTAACATCAGTTTGGATAGGAAAAGACAAAATTGCCATTAAAGAATCTCCTTCTATCTCTTACTCGTTAAGGGCATTTTTGCCTTTTTGTATCTCGGACTTTTTTTTCATGGTTGACTAAAAAAATAAAATAAAATAAAAAGCTTTCCTATTCTTTTTTTTTAACAATAAAAAATAATTAAATATGTGTTAGTATCTATTGTTGTGAAAGGTAAACACTTCAAAAATAAATGCAGTCCACCAACTCTGAACAGCGTGATCATTATTGTAGCACATGGCTAATAACCACGAAGAGTGGGTAAGGAAACGAGCCAAAGCTTATTTAAAGCTGATTGATTACCCTGGAAAACAACACAATCCATTTTTTAAGAATTGAAAACCTGTTGGAATATTAGTTAAAGTTTTGTGCCTGCAGATTCTTCTGGATGATAGCTCTGACAAACTACAAATTGTTCTAATTGGTGGAAAAAGTCTAGTTTGCTGACATTGACAGGTTACCTATAAATTCGCTTGAAGCCCAGTTTAAGAAATTTTTTTAAAATTAAATAATGCGTTA